AGCGTCAAAGTCGGGAACGAGCCGCGGCGGGCGCTTTCCCTGCCGCCGGCCGCGCCGCCGGAGGGCGGCGCGGTGAGACGAACACGCCTTCCACGCCCGCGGGGGGCAACATGCTGGTTCCACCCATCGGGGTCGCGTCCCCCGATGGCGGTCATGGGAGAGGGCATAGGAGAGGGGACCTGGGGCGCGAGGTCTTGAGACTCGTCGTCTTCCTCGTCGTCCTCGTCTTCTTCAGAGTACTCGGGGTCGCCATCTTCGTCACCGCTTTCTTCGTCGTCCTTGTCCGCTACAGGTAGAACCGGTTCGTCGTCGCTCTGTGGTGATGAGAGAGAGGGGAAAGGGGTGGCGGGCGGAGCGGATGCGGCATACGCACGAATTGGTGGTGTATCGCGGCGATATTTCGTACGGTTAGGGTCGCTGTCTTTCAGAGGTTATGAACGTACAAATGTGGGGAAAGTAAAACACAGGCATATGCCAAAAGTCCAACAGCAACGTGTGTGCTTCTGCGCCACCGTTTTGTCGTGCGCCACACGCGTTCCGGGCAGCGAAGGCGGGCATGTCATACATATTCACCCAAACGCAACGGGCAGGGGGCGTACTCGGACAAAGAGTATTGCTTTGCAGTAATGGTGTTCCGCCATCACTTCTCGCGTTCAGATTATTTTTGTAGATGTGGTTACGATGAAGAGTACCGACGGAGATGCTCTTGGGATGGTGGCCTTCGCATCCTGTCTTTTACATCCGGGAGGTGGTCTAACAATGAACGAGCGAACACTCTAAAAAACTCGAAAAACTCCCGAGTGTAACATGTGATTTCAATGGTCACGACGTCGTCCTCTCCCTGGCCATTCTTCTTTTGTGGGGGGTTATTGGATATTGGTATATCGTGTAGTGGTTGAGGGCGGAAAAGAGACCTCCGACGGGGATACACAAGCGGGGGGTGTCTCCCAACATGTAAATACCTTTATGTGTCATGATGTAGTACGCTCACACACCCACGAGGTCGCGTGTTTTCCTTTCGAATAAATATTCCCATTAATATGCAGAGACAATACATAACGCTGACGACGCGGCCATCGTCTCGCGCTCGCCGGAGAGTCTCGAGAAGATGATGTCGGTCATCGTGCGCGTGGCCGGCCTGTTCGGACTGATGGTGTCGGAGCCAAAGACAGAGATCATGTGCATGCTGCCAAAAGGGATCGAGGAACACCCGTTCACGGTCAGCGCCGCCGGCCAGACGTACAAGCAGACAGATCGGTTTGTGTACCTCGGACGTACCATCTCCGCGGACGGGAAGGCCGACCGGGAGATCACGAGCCGCAGCTGCCGAGCGTGGAAGTGCTACCGCCGGAACAGTGCTTCGATGTACGACAGGCGACGGGCCGACCGCCAGCTCAAGATCCGGCTTCTCCAGGCTGAAGTGGTGGAGACTCTCCTGTATGGGTGCGCCTCGTGGAGCCTAACAGCGGAGCACTACACGAAGCTCAATGGGACCCACCGCCAGTTCCTTACACGGTGCATCGGCTGGAGCAAGCGGAAACGCTCAGACCGCCCCCTGTCCTATGCCCAGGCCCTCATCCAGGCAGGCTGCGAGTAACCATCGAGGCCACCGTGCGCAAACGGAGACTGTGTTTCGCGGGCTTTGTTATGCGCATGGAGGACAGCCGCCTCCCCAAGCGCATGCTGTTAGGAGCGATGGCGGGGGGCGTGGGATACCGGGGCGGGCAGGAGAGCGGCTGGGTGTCTCGTCTAGGAGTGGACCTCGTGGCCTTCAACATGGGAGACGAAAAGGAAGGGGGTGAATGGAAAGAGAGCGCGAAGGATCCGGAGGTATGGTACAACAAGGTCGAGGACGGGGCGGCATGGTTCATGAGGAAATGGTACAGGCAGGAGGCGGAAGCGTCCGCGAAGCGCCAGCGCGCGAGGGAAGCAGAAGCAGAGAGTACGGCCTCAGGACCGAAGAGAAAGAGAGCCGGGGAAGCGGCGGTGGGGGGGAAGAAACGGCGACCGGGCACTGCTGTACAAACGAGTAGGGCGGCCGAGGCAGCACCTGTGGCGAACTATGTACCCGGCTGATGCTGTTGCGCCCTGTTTCCCTCCCTGCTGTATGCTATACTCCTTTATGTATGTCCTTTTTATTGCCTTCGGCCTCTGTGCTGTGTTTCTGTGTTTCTTTTTTTCATGACCTCCTTGCCTACTCTGCTGTGTTGGGTACCGTGATCTCGCTTTGCTGTTGCCTTTGTTTTTTTACGTCTGGCTGTCTGCCCATCTGCCGCCTCTTTGTCGTGTTTGCTCCGTTACTCCCCTGCCCTGGTGCGTAGTGCGTGGTGCTGGTACGTTACCCTTTGATTTTTTCTTTAGGCGGGTGTGGGAAGCGTTCTCCTTTATTTTTGCTTTTGTTTTATTTTGATCGGTTTCCGAGGGCGCTTTTCTCGGAGGGTCGGTGCGATACCTGTTCTTTTCTTTCTATCATTTTGTTTTCTTTTTCCGAGTGGTTTGTACTAGTGCTGCACGTCTGATAAAAAAAAAAAGTGTGAGACATAACGCCTCGGGCGGGAAGCTATCCCCTGCTGAAACCCCTCGATTTCTTGCGGCGCAACAACTCAAGACCTCGCCTCCCACGGCCGGCTTCATAGGGCGCAGCAGGGCTGGGAGCGTCGATATTCCGGCTGAGATAGGTGAGGTAGCTACCTGTCAACCGTGCAGCCTTTGTTTTACAGTCGGGGCTAGTCCGTAGGGGTGGATTTCCAGTTTTTTCTCTGGGCGTACCACCGTAGGACAACTCGGAAATCTCCGAGTAAGGGTTGGATCCGCTGCAGTCTCTCCACGAGTCTATCGTGTTGCAACAAAATGTCGCCAACATCATGCACTCAGGTACTGTTGACATCTTTTACAAAAGGTTTGGAGCGATTTGATCCGTCAGAAGATAGGTATGTTGAGATCAAAGTCCAATAGTGTTGCGCTATGATGGAAAGATACGAAACGCAGGTCTGCATACATGCACCGCAGCACAGCAGATTGGGTTGACTTCAAGCAATCATACACTACACATGTCAACCTGCTGTGGAAATATCAGAAAGCACGCGGCGGGATGAGCTCACTATCTGTCGCAGCAGGGTCCATGATTTTTGGTGATCAAGAGAGGGTGGAAGCGACTTTTCTGAACTCCAGACCACATCTAGAGAAGTTGACGTTCGAAACGAACGCATCTTTGTGGATGGTCCGCGGTAACTCGATACTGTACACGAACTAGACCCCCCCCCCTGATTTTGACAGGATTATTTGGATTACTTTCGATACTCCTGAAACGTTTTGAGCAGTATCCTTCCAGGTACGAATATAGAAATGATTTTATGGATAAAAATGGAGACACACGCACCTGACTTTGGGATGGGATGCCATGAATGACTGTCTGAGTGTCATGGTATCTATTATCGATACACTACGGATAACGCCGAGTTAACTACTTCCTTTTTGTGCGCGTTACGATTTCAGGGTATCCTTGGCCTAGAACCTGTCCGTAGAGGGAGGATCGAGCCGACGCGCGATGAGACGTAGTAGGAGTAGCGGGCAGCGGGGGGGGGGGAGCGGTGACAAGAGCCATACAGAGCAGACCGTGACACCACCTGCGTCTAATCGCCCTGAACCAAGACGTGGACGGACATGCAGTCCCGCTGAAGGAAAAGCGACACCAAGGAGGACGCGCCACCCACGTAGTCGCCCCCCACGAACTCCGTCGAATCCTGTTAATGGTAGCAGCGGGGGGGGGTCTACGGCTACTTATCAACGGGTAGGCGGCCTGGGCACCGCTTCCCCAGAGGCTACACCCGCAAGTACGCCTGGCGTCGCAACTAAGCGAGTGGCGGGATCCGGCGCGCGTGGCCGAGATCCGGGAAGCCGTACAGGATCCGGTAGGAAACGCAGAAAGAGACGGACGCTGGGGCAGAGGCGGCAAGCCGTCTTTGAGGGGAGGATGGCAGACGAGGAGTACAGTGAGCAGCAAAAGGAGGCGAGGCAACAGGCTAAGGTCCGCAGAGAGCGAGAGATTGCCGAAGCTGAACGTGAGAAGTTGGAGTCTGGAGGCAAGCGGACAGTTGAATTCCGGCGTCGAAGTTGCGGTGGAAACCTTGGAACAGCTCGCTCTCGCTCCGTCAAGCGGAGTGCAGCGCGAAGACAGCCTGATTCTGGAGTTAGGAATACTCAGATCGGAGCCGAGAAAAAACACGCAAGAAACCTTGTAGGCGTGCGGAGTGCGGTTGGTTCACAAACAATCCGGATCTCGAACGCAGCATTTGCCCCTCAGGCGTAGTGCACGCCGTCAGTGACAAGCTATGCTCCGCATGCCATAGGTCGGAGGGCTTAGCTGGCTTCACGCACCTCAGAGGGCNTGATCCTGGAGTTAGGAATACTCAGATCGGAGCCGAGAAAAAAACACGCAAGAAACCTTGTAGGCGTGCGGAGTGCGGTTGGTTCACAAACAATCCGGATCTCGAACGCAGCATTTGCCCCTCAGGCGTAGTGCACGCCGTCAGTGACAAGCTATGCTCCGCATGCCATAGGTCGGAGGGCTTAGCTGGCTTCACGCACCTCAGAGGGCCACGGCTTGAACGAGCGACACGGTTGTTTTTGGCCGAGTACCAAGAAGGGGGAGCTGCCTCTACCTCTAGTGCGAGGATTTTGTCCCACCAACGACTGCATTTGCCAACGCCGAGATTTTTTCTCCGGTTCTCTTCTCGAGAGGGAAGCAAAGCCGGAGCTCCGAACATGTAGCGTGTGCAAGAGAGGGTACCCTGTGAAGGACCAGAAGAGGTGGTACAGTGTGGACGTCGTGGACGATAACATAACGGAGGGTGGTGGATCAGGACGCACACAAGCTTGGTACTGCCAGGCCTGCAATCAAGCTCGAATCCGGGCCATCGGAGAAGCTACTCAAAAAAAAGTTGCGGCATCGAGCAACTCGGGCCGGCCTAAAGCCGATGAAACGGCGCCGGAATAGCCGTTCAGCCGGGTGCGCGCGTTGGTGATTTAAGCCGTAGCTCGCGGGACATCCTTCACTGGGAGGATGTGTTCGACTGGCTCTCAGCTGAGCGCGCAAAGGATGGTGACCAAGAACTTGAGCGTGGGAGCGGGCGGAATGCCGTGCGCCAGATGTTCGAGAGCATCGCGAGCGCTGATGGGAGCCCTTNGCCAGATGTTCGAGAGCATCGCGAGCGCTGATGGGAGCCAAGCGCGGGTGGTCAGCAGCGAGGGGGGCTTTGGAGACGGGCGCCAACGACTACTGTGTCTCTTCCCGGTCAACGCTCGGGACGAGGTTATCGCATCCCTCGCCCTACGGGCGCGCCTGGCGAACACGTTCGATGGTCCGAGCACGCTCGCAAACGCCACGTCCGGTGGAAATACGTCCCTGCAGATAGTGAGGCGTCTTCTCGAAGGAGCGAATGAGGCAGACGCGAGGACGGAGATCGTGCGTGCGGCGGCGGAAATTGTTGGGGCCGATGTCGATCAGCATCCAGATCTCAAGAATGCCCGCATCCAACGGCAAAAGCACAAGTACAGCGTGGAGTTGGCCGCACCCGTGAAACCAGTGCGAGATGCCCTAGCTGAGATACCCCCGACATTGGTTGGACTCTTCCAAGGTATGACGAACATGCTCCTGTACCCCGAGATTACCGATATAGGGAGTGAGGATCCCGGCCGGGGCTGGGCGTGGGATGACATATAAACAGACGGTCCACAGCCAAGCGCAGCGGGGAGTGTACGGCGAGAGGATGATGGGAGCGATGGAGCCGACGCGCTTGAAGGAGCCGCCTGTGAGCGGCAAGCCCCCACTTGCGATGCCACCCGGGCAGAAGAGGTGGATTCTGCTGGGCCGATTTCCGAGGCAGCTGCCACTTTCATCGAAAAAAGTAACCAGGATAGGCGAGGTTTCGCACGGCGTTTGTACATGATTTGCAAGTGCACGGTGAAGGCGATTTTTCCTGGTCGACACTTGACAGCGGCCATGGTCGACTACGTGGACCTCATCCGAGTGGCCATCGTCAAGCTTGGCAAGACGAGGACGACAGACACCTGCCCGACTTATAGGTCGATGCGCGAGCAATGCCTGAGGATGAAGTCTGTCGACGGGTAATGGCAAGGTGGATTCAATGGCCACATGCCAGAACGAGACTTCAACGGAAAGGGTTGGGGATTCAACCCCAAGGCGAAGGGCAGCAACGCGTCAGCACTCACAGGAGAGAATTGCGTTATGTGGATGTCGGAGCATTCTTACATCGGTGCCGATGGGAAGACGGTCACGATGACGTGCGGTTGCGACCCGGTGAAGGCCTAAAAGCATCACTGTAGGGGGTGCGGGTGCAAAGGGCGCAAGTGCTCCCTCGCTTGCGACTGCAGGGGCCGTTCAGGTGCGTTTGACCATCCTATCGCTGTTCATTTTTCTTCTTGTGTAGACATGTGTGAGTGTTGATGTCGCCCATACTTTGTTCGTCGCCTAGTGATCATGTTGGTGTATCGCGCCGGTGCCATACCGAGCCCACATAATGCGGTCTGCGTGTCGTGTTTCAGGTAACAAACTTCCGCGAGATGATTTCGTCCAATGGCGGCTCCCCCGTTCGGCGTTGGTCAGGACTTACTGGCTT